GATGGGGCTTGTGTGTGGCCACATCTCTGGGACCCATGAGGAGGGGCTCTGTGGCTGCAGAAACATTCCGGGCATACCTGCGAGAGATGAGGAGTGGGGAGCGCCTGGTGCAGGCGCTGCACAAGCACCAGATGTTATCATGGTCCAGCCTAAATGCTGAGGTGCAGGGCTTGATCCTCAGCCCGGCTCCTGCCCCTTCCTGCCCCTCCACCAGGCTAAGGCAGGTTGCACAATTTATTTTCCTGTACTTAAAGCAGGATTTTGGCAGTCAGGGTCGGGAGGCCTCTCTGAGGAGTGCTGGCTGGGCGCCCTCCTGCTGTCACGGGATCACGCTGCTGTCAAAGGCTCTGCTCCACCAGATATCCTTCAGTGTGGCCTTCTACTGCAGCATCACAGCTGATGGAGGCAGTGCCTGGGCAACCAAGATGCCGTTGACATCTTCAGCAAGTGTCGGTGGGAGCAATGGTCAGTCCAGTGTGGGTGCTCGTGTGCCAGACTGAGGTGAAACCCATTGCTTCCAGTTCCTGTGATGTGGCACCTATAAGAAGGACTCATCCTCTTCTGCCATCTGCCCATGCAGAGAGATACCATCCCATCCTTAGAGCATCTTTTCTCAGTGGTCCCAGGCTCTTGTTTCATGCTGTCTCCATCACCTGGCTTCCCTACAGCCAGCCGGTGAATTCAGGTGGATAAAGGGAGAGCAGGAGATACAGGAAAATCACTGTGGTTGCCACTGCAGGAATATGCAAAGGGATTTGCTATTACATTTGCTGACAGCGAAAGGGAGGAAAAGGAGATGAGCGCTAATTTGTGCTCTGTGTGAGCAGTATTAATGTCACCCGTGGTGATTTAATTGCTTTGTGAGGAGAGCAGCGGGTGAGGCTGAGCATGCTGGGGAGGGAGGATGAGATATTTGGGAGTGATGAAAAGTGTTTGTGGCCAATAAAGGGCAGGAGGGTGGTGTGGCCAAGACATCTGGAGAGAAATATCAGCTCTGCCCATGCACTTGGCTGTGTCATGCTCGTGGAGAGCAGAGAATTGGCAAATGTGAAGCCCAGAGCATGCAGTAGCTGTGGTAGAAGGTATGTGACATGTGGAGTGGGTTTTCTAGGGGAAAAGATGAAGAAAAAAGAAGGAATGGAAGATGGTGGTGAAGATGGGACTTTGGGGAACAGGGAAAAAATCATGGAATTACCCATCTGCTGGAGCAGGGTGGGGAGGACTTGGAGGGGATGTCCTGTTTTTGCCACGATGATCTCGAGTTGGCAGTGTGACATCCAGAAAGGTTTATGAGTGGGAGAGCCTGGGTGGAGATGTCATCTTGTGAGTCCTCAGAGGAGAGATGAGCTCACCAGGGAGAGGGTGTTAAGGGGGCCGAGGCCGAGGCCCTAGTGCTGAGCCTGTGGGGCTGGGATGGGGATGAGCATGTGGAGGCATGCAGTGGTGGGGAGAGGCTTAGCAGGATGTTCTCAGATGTATGGGGGGATGTAGAGGACAGGCTGAGCAGGTGGAGGGCACTGGAGGAGGAGGACGTGAACGTCTTGCTCCATCCATGGTAAAGAGAAGTTGGCATCTCCCTGCATTTTGTTTCAGCATGAGGGTGAAGCATGGGGTTTTTTCACCACCACGCTGGGGGAGTGGAGATAGTCCCTCACCTGGGGTTGAAGCTGGAGTAGGGAGGGGAAGGGATGGAGCTTGGAGGTTGTGGCATGGGATCTACCAGGGGAAGAGAGGAGCCGTTTGAAGGAAGAGTTTTTGGGAGGCTCAGGGCTCATTTTCTCCCATCCTACTGTCCTATTTCTGCAAAAATGGTTAAACTTAAAAAAAATAGCTCTCAACCCCTGCCACCCACAGAGACCAAAGTGAGGAAGCCATTGGTTTTACCATGAACACTGTGGAAAGGTGAGCTTGGAGATCACAAAAATGGAGAGCTACTAATAAAGAAAGGAGGCAGGGCAGGGCGTTAGTGCAGCCAGACCCAGCTGCAGCCCGTGCTGAAGCAAGCAGCTCCAGACCATAGGGAGCGGCATGAAAAAGATGCAGCTGAGCGCCCCTGGCTTATGGAAGGACAAGGGACAAGTGAAATGCACTGGCAGGGGGCAGCTTGGAGCATCCTGGGCATCTGGCACTGCATCCCCTCCAAATCCAGGGCTCTGCAGCACAGGGATGGAGGTAAGAGGCGGCAGGTCCCTGCCTCTGCATCTATGGGAAGTTCTTGACCCTTTCCAGCCCAAAAGCACCTTGAGACCACTGGCAAGTTGCTTCCAGCAGCACATGTAGCAGCTGTGGGTAGGGGAGGAGCGCACTGTTTTCACCAGATGAATATCAGCGCCCTCTCGACAGGAGGAAGTTGCAGACTTACTGAAATCTAAAATAAGGGGCCTCTTAAGCCAGTGGTGTGTCAAGTGGTTAAGGCAGAAGATTAGCGAGCCAGCTTTCCTTCCACTGATGGAAAATCAGGGATGCAGCCTGTGGTCCAAACACCAGCATCTCCTGAGAAGAGAGAGGAGGGACAGCTTTTGGCAGTGCAAAGGGGATGCTAGAGGTACCACATGGGCACCTCTCCTCCTAGCTAGGGACTCTTAGGAGGAGACCAACAACAATTAGGTGTTTGCAGCACGTGCTGGTTTTACGCAGCCCAGTGGAGGCTGAGTGCTAGAAGAAAAGCCCGTGGCTCGTTCAGCACAAACTCATTATTTAATAGAGAAAGTAAATATTAAAAAAAGTCATTTCCCACCCCCCCTCTGGTGCTGAAATTTACAGTTGTGAGAAGAGCCAGAGTGCTGTGGAGCCGGGGTATCTCCGGGTGACATTTACAGGGCTCAGCTTTCATCGCAGCTTGAAAAAATCCCGTGCGCAGAGATTATCTCCACACTGATCTGGATTGTCTTGTTCAGCTTTGGCCCTCATCCTAGATGGACAATGAGCAGAAAACTTGGCCAGTGGCCTGCGGTCTCTGACCTCCTCTGCGTGAGCTGGGATGAGGAAGAACAGTCTCCAAGGTACT